TCTTTCTCTTTTTGAGGGGGAAGAGGGGATTGAACTCAGGACCTTGTTGCCTGCAAGGCAGGCGATGGAACCACTGAGCTAAATCCCCAGCCCCCTTATACTTAAGGGTTTTTGTTTTCTTTTTTGAGACACATTCTCATTTTGTAGCCCAGGCTGGTCTCGAATTTGTGGCAATCCTCCTGTCTCAGCTTCTGGAGTGCTGGGGTTACCGGTGTGTACCAACATACCCCACTTTTCCTATTTTAAAGATCACTTTATTACTCATATTGCATTCTGGGTGATTTTCTTAGGTTTGTTTTCTAGTTCATTATTTGATTTTTTTCTTCTGTGTTCAGTTTGCTGTTTAACCCACCCCTTTTAAATAACTCTGCCTGTTCCTACAAATTTTGTTTTACAGAATTTGTTTTTAAATTATAAATTCTACTCCTTTCATCATCATCATCACCATCATTATTATTACTATTGTGCTAGGGGTCAAACCCAAATCTTTGTGCATGTTAAATAGGCATTCTACCACTGGGTTACATCACCAACCCCTATAATAACTTGAAGTGTAGTTATTTTTAGTCTTCTTTTTTTTTTTGGTATGAGGGATCAAACTCAGGACCTTGCGCTTGCGAGGCAGGCGGCAGAACCACTGCGCTAAATCCCTGGCCCTTTTTTTAGTCTTCTTTTGATTGTTCTACGATGTCACATTCCTTCGTGTGCTAATTCTTCTGTTCATTTTGTATTCTGATTTTCCCGCATGATGAACTGCTGCCTTATATGGGCTGTAATTTTTTATTGTGAATTTTGTGAATTCATATTCTATAGGGATTATTTTCTGTGAGAATCTTATTCGTAGGTTGCTGACTAGCTTTATAGTTACACTTGCCAAGGTTTTTAATGATTTAGGACTGTTTTTATTTTATTTTATTTTTTTGGTACTGGGGATCGAACTCAGGTCCTTGTGCTTGCGAGGCAGGCGCTGAAACACTGAGCTAAATCCCCAGCCCAGGACTATATTTTTTATACTATGTTCCTGACTTGGCATTTACGTTTTATATTTTGGACTCTATGTGTCTTTAAAGTTCACTTTTTGACACGATTTTTGTAGATCCTAGAGTGGCTGACATGCTTCCATGGCCTGCTAGGTCCTTTTTTTCATGGAGCTAGTGATCTTAAGAATCCCAGAAATATACGAGGTCTCATTTCCAGTTACCAAATTCATGAAGGCCTAAGGCCTTGTGTTAGTCACTTTCCCATTGCTAGGACAAAACACCCAATATCTAAAACTTAAAGAAGAGGTTTGGTCTGGCTTACAGTTTCCAGTGGGTTCAGTCCTTGTTCGTCTGACTCCAAGGCAAAAATAGCATGGTGGAAGGACGTGTTGGAGAAAGCTATTCAGTATGTGGCAGCAAGGAAGCAGAGAGAGAGGGAGGGAGCCAGGGAGAAGAATACACCCTTCTAGGTCACACTCCAGGGACCCATGTCCAACCACGCCCCACAACTTACAGCACGTTCAGCTAGGAACTCATCAGTGGATGAATCCATAGTTAGTATTAGTGCCCTCATGGCCCCGTCAACCTTGTAAACACATGAAATTCTGAGAACACTTTAGATCTAGACCATCACAGGTCACATTTTATGTCCTTGAATTGGCATTAAACCCCAGTTTCCCAAGGCCTGTGTCCAAGTCAGATACCAACCTTGGCCTCTCAGTTCTGTACTTTGGCTTCATATCTTCTGTTTTTGTCACCTGAGAATTTTTCTTTCTGGTTAAGTTTGGAAAAAGCATTTTTGTTTTGTTGTTATAGTTGGCATTTTATATCAGTGTAGTATTTACCTTTGTTAGCAGAGGATGAAGAGTGGTCATGTGTTTCCTTTCGTAAGCATGTTGCCTGAAGTTTTTGTATGTGCTTCTTTAAAAACAAAATTTCTGGGGCTGGTTATTTAGCTCAGTGGTTCTGCTGCCTGCCTTGCAAACTCAAGGTCCCAAGTTCAATATGCGGTACCAAAAACAAAAACAAAAATCCTGCAAAATTTCTAAAATTTGAATTGATATGTTAAAGAATGTACAGAATTTCAGTGTTTCTGATTAATATCAAATATACTTTGCATTAAAGTTTAGTGGTCCCACCAGTATTACATATGATTATTCATTTGGAAATATTATGAATTAAAAGACTGTCCATCTCAAATCTGCCAGATCAACTAGTCCATCATTATTCACATTGGTCTTCTATGAAGCTCCAGGGCAGGACAAAAAGCACCCAAATTCTGTGTAACTGTGTGACAGTGGTGGCCTTTATACTTCAGCTTTTGGTTTAACTGTCATTTCCATCTGATTTGCCTTGTCTCCTTATCTCAGAGACTACCAGAATCACTCAGCAACCTCTGCTTATAGTATCCAAGTCTTTTAAAAGCCTGTTCCTCCTCTTCCGTCTTCTGACTGTTAACCAGTTCCAAAGCTCCCTTTACATTTGCAGGTATAGTTACAGCAATAACCTCACTCAGAATAGATTTTCTGTATTAGTCTGTTTTATATCACTGTAGTGAAATACTCAAGGCTGGGTACTTTTTTTTTTTAACTTCACTATGTTTCATTGAATAACATTGAAATTTTGCTGGACAAGATTTTCTGTGTTTAGTATTTCTCATTTCCACATTACTAATTTTCATTATTTTACGTCATAGTACTGTTTCACTCTAAAGTTTAGCTTGGCAACTAAGCCCCTTTAGATTTGGAATTTGAAATATCTGGATTCATTGCAAATCTTTATCTGCTGCTCACCTACTTGCATCTGACTCTGGGAGAGACAGTTTCACCTTCCAATGTTACCTTATCTCTTAAAAATTGTGAATGCAGGGCCGGGGATTTAGCTCAGCGGATCGGTGGCCTGCCTTGCAAGTGCAAGAACCCGAGTTCAACCCCCGTACCAAAAAAAAAAGAAAAAAAAAATTGTGAATGCAATGCATGGACTCAACAAATACATATTGAAAATTTTCTGTCTTCTAGATGTTGGTTCACTTGCTCATTTGTCATATATTTATCCCAGACATTCTTATCATTGCTCTTAGTTTTGTATAAAGTGATTACTATAAAACTCAGTATAGTTATATAAGTGTTGAGTAAGCTGTCATCATTGTTACTACTCTAATTTCTTCCATTCTTTTTTTTTTTTTTGAGACAGGGTCTCACTGTGTAGTTGAGACTGACCTGAAATTCACTATGTAGCCCAGGCTGGTCTTAAACTCACAGTGATCCTCCTGCCTCAGCCTCCTGAGTGCTGGAATTACAGGTGTGAGGCACCATGCCCAAATTCTTCCATTCTTGAGAAAGAAAAATTCTTTTTTGTTTTTCATTGTTTATTGGTACATTTAAAGCAAACAATACAGTTACATTTACCATTGGGATCTTGTACCTTTACATGTTATCTCTTGGTTCTTGTTTTTTTGTTATACCCCTGCCCTCCTCTCTTCACCCCCTTCACCCTTCCCTATTTTCAAAGACTTTGTTTCCATTTTTTCATTTTTTCTTTTCCCTTATTTCTTTTAGGGCTTTATAAAGAAAAGAGCCTAATTTAGCTCAGTTTTAGAGGTTCAAGGGTACGGTACCAGCATTTCACAGCCCTGGGAAGGCCTGAGCGCAGATGTCATCATAATGATGAGAGTGTGCATGCATATGAGAGGAGATGTGAGAAAGGAAACTGAAGTGTGAGGGGAGACAGCCTTGCACTCTTTGTGTGTGTGTGTGTGTGTGTCTGCGTGCACGCATGTGCACCTGTGGTATTGAGGATTGAATGTAGGGCCTTTGCACTGACTCGCATTTTTATCTCTAGCCCTTTATTAATTTTTATTTTGAGACAGGTCTTTGAGAGTCATTAAGTTGCCCAAGCTGGGCTTGAACAAACTTGCAGTTTTTATAGCAGTCCTCTTACGAGAACTAGTTCAGGGGCTCCATGAGAATTACCTTAATTCCTTCTGAGAGTGATGTCCCCAGTGCTTTAAGGACCTACCACTAGGTCTCATCTTGCAAAAGTTTCACCACTTCTCTTCTAACATGTGAACCCTGAGGGGACAAACTATGTCCAAACCATGGAACTCTTGATATTTTCCTATTTCTGCTCATGTTGCCTTTTATTTGAATTAATATTCAGTTTGTTAAGTTCATAAGGAGTCTGACTGGGATTGTATTGGATTTATACATTAATTTGAGGATTATTGGTATCTACAGATTTGAGTCTTTTTTCTTCAGGAACATGGAATACCTCTTGAACTGTTCACTATTTCAGTAAAGCTTTGTAAATCCTTTATACATTTTGGACTTATTTTTGTTTATATTGCTACTGTGAATGGGATTCTTTATCCTGTTAGCTTCCTAGTGGATTATTGTTTTGGTAGTGCTGGGGATCGAACCCAGGCCCTCACACATGCTGGGCAAGGGTCCTACCACTGTGCCACACCCCAGCCTTTCCTAACATTATTGTTAATGGTGGATGGGATGAACGGTTTACTCTGGACTTGTCCATGTTAAAATACAGATTCTCCTACATTATTTTCTTCTGCCATGATCCCTACTAGTTTGGGATTCTAAGCTTATTAGTTTGGTATCTTTTGCAAAACCAAAGCTTTTACAATGTATTTTTTTTCTTCACACTGTTCATTGAAATACTAAGCTAGGTCTAGCCTAGCTTTTATCTTCTAAGTGCCATAGTGTTTTTACTTCTTCATTTAAATAGAACAGAATTCATTCCTACTCTACAGTAGCACAAATTTCCAGGAATTCTAATAATTATGTGCCTCTTTATGCATCTCAATCTATTGTTGTATATCTAAGCCAACCTCTATTGTTATCCATATGGTACCTTTTAATTTTGTGTTAATATTTTTTGCTACCAAACCCCTTCTTCCCCTATCTTCTCTGTGTCCTACCCGCCCCTGCCGCTTTCTTTCTGTTTTTGTCTAAAGTAGCTTTGGACCTGAGCAGGGACTAACTTCTGAACTTTGCTCATTCCCAGCCAGGACATCACAGGTAATATTTACTATTTCAACTTTGCCAACGGGCAGTCCACATGGGACCATCCATGTGATGAATTCTTTCGGAAGTTGGTGATCCAAGAGCGGGGGAGACTGTCAGCTCCTGGGGCAGTTAAGAAGAAGGACAAGAAAAAGAAAAAGGAGAAGAAAGACAAGAAGGACAAAGAGGCCTGCAAAAGTCCACTGGTGAGTCAGTGGATGCCAGCTCTGAGAAAGGCCAGGGCTGAAACCTGTGGGATATTGGGAATCTGTAGGTGTGCATAGCCAGGAGGTTACAAACAACAATAATACATTCTTTCTTTTATTTTTTCTTGCTTTTTTATTTTTTTAGTTTTTTGAGACAGGGTCTTACTATGTAGTTGAGACTGACCTGGAACTCACCATGGAGCCCAGGCTGGTCTCAAACTCACAGTGATCCTTCTGCCTCAGCCTCCAGAGTGCTGGGATTACAGGCATGGGCCACCACGCCTGGCACAATAATACATTCTTAATAGTATATTGTCTAAATTTTTCTTGTCTTCTAGCAGTTGTTACCATCTCAAAACAGTTCCACTTCTTTCTTTTTTTTTTTCTTTTTTTTTT